TATATATATATATATATATATATATATATATATACATATACATACATACATATACTGTGTATATATTTCTGTAACTGATTCATATATTTCTGTAAATGAAGTTTTCTGTGCTTTGGCTTTGCTAGTTACTGACCGTGGAGAGCGATATGTTGTGTAATGTGACATTTTGTGTCATTGTGAGAAGTCGTTGCTTCGCTCTCTCACGCCCTTCATTTTCCCAGCACTCCATGCAAACGTTCCCAAGTAATGTTTTCTTTTCCGTGCGTGCTAGCATCTCACTGCACACAGTTGCCATGGAGACCCAACTGACAAAAAATACTTGGTTTCCCAAGCTAGGGCAACAAAAAGGCCGAGCCTGTAGAGTTCAGGGATTACCTCCCCTTCAGGGCAGTATTACTTGTGTGATGAACACAGTTATTTCTCATTTCCTCTACAGACAGAAAAACAATAACTTCCCAAAATGAATAAGAGCATTCAAGTGGTTGGCTTCATGAGCGAGTGTGATGAAGTAATGTGGGCACCCTAATTAGTGGCTGAGAGCTGATATTTTAGGAAGCGAATCAGCATTGATATAAACATGCTGTGGGCACTGATCACGCCTTCCATGGAACATAATACATAAACATTGGATTTGGCTGTATTATCTATAAAGGAAATAGCAGGCCCAGCTAGGGTCAGCAAGTCTGGAGAGCAGGAGCACCTCCAGTCCATTCCTACTCTACTCCGCTGATTGTTCCATTCCATGTAAACAATGACATAGTATAATAGGAATGCATATAGTCACTGCCTATAGTCCCTGTTGCCAGATTATCCATTTCAACAAAAACCTCAAACAAGATTATATGTTCTTTAATCTATTTTATGCATGTTATTTATATTTACCTGTAAAAGACTCCCTTGTATACACAAACAAAAGCCCTAACACCACTGCTGGGTACCACCATTTTGGATGTGATGTCACCAACCTCAGAAGACTTAAGTGACACATTATAATATTTCCCTTTTCTCTTTATCCAGCAGCTACATGAAATGTTATTTAGGGAGGTAAGGTAAGGGGCAGAGGAGCTGGGTCAGCACAGAGTGTAACCAGAAACTCCTAGAAGAGGAAAGGGCTATGACGTGCATGGTGGGAGGGGGCTACCATAGAAAATTTACTCTAATGGAGTAGTGAGATTTTCTAGCAATTTCAAAGACACAAGCAAATAAAAAAAATAATTTATGAAAAGGAAAAATACTGCAAGTAAGCATTTAAAACAGACCCCTGATGTCTCCACAAAGAGGACCTGTCACTTCCTCTGTGCTATTACACAGGGGGCTTGTTAGTCCTCTATGTGATAGCAATAAAGTAAAGTTTAAAAAAAAAATCTAAAAATTATAGTGACCTATACAAAGCCCTCAACCTACCACATACACTCACATACAAATGCAAACACGCGTCAGGTGTGCCTACGTGCAAATGTGACAATTGCACCACACATGTTACATATCGTTGCAATTGTCAGAGTGAGAGCAATCATTTAAGCACCATCTCTTATTGATAACTTGAAGAGCAGTAAATAATTAATAAAGAATGTGTTTAATTTTTACATTATCATGGGCATCCCCGCACTGCAAGGGTTAAGTACTCATTTTGTTTTGGGCGCTAAAATAGCAAAGTTATACTCACC